TTGAAATTGCAAATTATTGGTTACACTTTTTTTTTTTTGTTGTCGCAAATTCCAGTTCTATCCAATAAATAAAGTTTAGAATTCTTTTTAATCCTGAATTGTGAATGATTTCATTCTTTTTTCATCAATCAATATGATTTCATTATTTTATTTTTGATTTCTTTCAAATATTCTAAATGTATCGGAAATATGTGCAATGTCAAAAATAGGAAAAAGCATGGAAATTCGTTTTTTTACGTCTGCGATAGTTCTTTTTATGTCTGATTAAAGTTAGAATGTGTCTTCATGTTAAGATTTTTTAACTCGAAATATTTGAGGAATTTATTTTGTAGACATTCATATATAAAGTCGCATGACAAAGATATGTGACCAACTGTGAAAAAAAAAATGAAGTAAAATTGTGTTATTCAGAACCTTTTTATTAGCTCCATTACAGAATTTGAATTTTTAATATTTATCGAGAAATATTTTTTTGATATTTCATTAACAACTCCTATAAACTAGCTTCAATAATTATTTTTTCTCTGTTAATTTAATTTTTCTTTCATTTTATTCCAATAAGTTATGATTAATCTGATGAATGTTTTTATTGTGTAGTCGCACCACTGAATGCATTAACTATTATATTTGTTACAGTCAAATTTGGATATTTCGATATTTCATAATAATTCAAATAATAATAAAATGAATAGTCGAATTATTTTTTTTTTCACATTGCAGCAAGTGATTCAAGATATAAATTACAATTTTCTTTTGGATTTGTCGAAATACGCATATATCCTTTTTCGCCCCAATCGGTGCCCCAACTGAAAATTAATTATTATCAATTTATTCATTAGTTTAATTTTTTCATTGATTAAAAAAAAAAAAGATTGTAGTATATTTTAAAAATGAACTATCCAACATATATAACGCAATTAGCTTTCCTTTTCTTTCTTTTTGCCGCAAGTCTATATAATACTATCAAAATGATGTATAACTTATCAATTTTATAAACAATTCCTTTGATTTAAAGGAAGAAGAAATTAATAACATTATAAATGATTTATTCATTTAAAATAATGATGTTTATATAAAATTGCTACCAGTTTTTTCATTATTGTAAATATTTCATTAATTATAAAATTGAGAATGCAAAGTGAACGCATTATCTTAGCTGACAATTTCAATTTACCATAGGTTTTAAATAAATAGAAATAGAAAGACGACACAAAAGCAAAATATGTTTTAGCTTCTAATTTAAATAAAATAAAATAGCACAATAAATTGTTCAAAATTCAGTCAAAAAATTTAATAAGAGAAAGTTTTTGCCTGTTTTTAATTAAAATATAATCATTTGTAAATCCAACCGCTAATACCGTATGTGAATAAAAACCTTCTTCGCATTGATCACTAAATATTCCTGCAAATTATTCACATCTAATGTTGCCTAAAATTTGTGATTTTAGTTGAAAATGGTATAAATTAATTAAATAATAAGATAATAGATAAACTTCTTAAATTTTATTATTTTTTAATTTGCATTAAATTATTACAAATTTAATCATTTTTCTCTACCTTATTTATTCAACTTTTCGTCTTTTTACAATTTTTGTTCATTCGTCTCTTTCAAATTTTAAATTTAACTAAACAAATTTTCTTACCTTCTTTATAATTTCTGAATTTAGTTGACAATAAAATTCTTGTAACCACCGGTCCTTTTGCCACAAGTGCTTTAAATAATAAAGGTGTAGAATGGCTTACTGTAAAGGTGGCAGCAGGTTTTCCAAATCGTTTACCTCTCATTTCACATGACCCATGCTTTTTCCCATATGGATAGTTCTTTTCGCTTACTAATCCATTCTTTTTCATAACATATGCGGAAAACTGAAGAATTATGCTATTAAATTATATTAAAGAAATAGTATATTTGCATAATTTGAATTAGCCTTTGTTATTATTAGTATTACTATTAATTTTATCATCATTTATTATCATTAATAATAATGTTATCATAAAACGTTTTCATTGCTTGTGATCATCACCAAACAATTTGATTTAATGAAAATAAAATGCTATCATTCTATACATATGGAAATAATTTTGCAAAGAAATAATAAAAAATAGCGTTGTGTCACTGTTAAAATTTTATACAGCTTAAATTTAATACTGCTCTATTGTTTATTGCTACTATTACTATTACTAATATTTTTATTATCATTATTGTTAATGTTGTTGCTATTATTAAATTACTAATTATTATTCATATGTATTAATCGGTTTTCTATTTATTTCTTCCAGAAATGAACAGAGATAATTCATTTCATTTCGACAGATTTTATTATATTTATCTGATTATATGAGTCTAAAAGCTGTATTACATTTTCGAATTTTCCAAAGAACGAACATGGACCACTGCAATCGACTAATTCCTGAACCGAAAGCTTGCGCAATTTTTTGGTTTGTGATTTAGCTAATGCTTCAAAAACACCTACAAATGCATCGGCAGCAGCTTCACCACATCCCTTAAAGTAATATTTCATTAATAACCGAATGAAAATTTGAATATTATCAAAATCATTGTTTTATTTAGAACAAATTTCTATACGATCTGAATTATTTGAAAAAAATAAAATAAAAAATAAAAAAAAAGTGCGCATTTTTTGCTTCTCATGAGATAATATATTCCATAATTTACTTATATATGACAAATTAAATTCTCCCAAATTTTTTTAGAAAGAATAGTAGAAAAAGGTTTTAAAATGCTCATTTGCCATTCTTCTTTTATTGGATAAAGAACACTTTTTTGTAAGCATTATTTTATCATTGCTGATTTCTTTTTTCATTTTTTTTTTTTTTTTAAACTGCTAAATTCCTATCAGGTATAAAAAAATTATTCAACAAAAGACTGACCTGATTAGTTTTGAGATTTCTAACTGCGGTGACATATTTTTTAGTCACCCAATTAACAGGTTTCAATCTTTCATCGGTTAAATTTTGCGGAATATGGCTTTCATCGGTATCATTAAATTTGATCACCGGAAATTCGTCCTGCATATCTTCCTCTGCCTATAATTAATTCATTAATCTAATGCAATTATTTTTCCTAATGTTATTTACCATAATTTATACCACTTGTAATTAAAATTCTTTTTTCATATTTTAAGGAATGGAAAATTTCATCTTACCATATCACTCATTACAGTTAAGCCAAGCATAAACGATGATTTGCCTTGTTTATACAACTCATTATGCTTTTGAATTTCTTCCACATTTTTAGCATAAGCCAACAAGCGATGTGGTTCCGGTCGATTATCCTTAACTCCTTGTTCTACAACGAAAGCGGAAATTGGAAATAAGTTTTGAATTTATTGGATAAATCTAAAATAATGCGTGGTTTTGCTGGGAATTACGTAAAGCGCTGTTTGGCAGCTCACACGTAGCCATTTCAAATATAATTAATCAAATTATAATAAAAATTAATGCGTGAAATTTGCACGATAATTAATAAATTTAAATATATAATATCATTTAAGCGGTCAGGAAAACTATCTGCAGTCGATTCAACTTATTGAATTCATATTTTAATTAAAGTGATAATGCTTCGACTAACGATTCTGAAAATTACAAATGAGATGAGTGAAGTAAATTAAACCAGTCGAATAAAAATAAGAAGTATTAAGAAAACCGCTAATGGAATTTTTAATTACTTACTGTATTCTGTTACAAATTTCACATAATCATCATAATGTTTCGAATACAATGCACGTAACTTTGAGTGACTTAATGCTTTGAATTGCCTGCAAAATAAATGCCACGAGAAGATTGCAAACTGTGAAATTTATCAAACCAAGTATTAAATGGCTGAAACTGACCAGAAAAAATTTTTTTTCAATGAAAATTTTAGTGTAGCAAATTGAATACGAAAAGCTATCTTTAATTTTAATATTAACAATTCAGATTTTAATGATTTGTTAAAATAATAACTTAAGAAAAAAAAAAACATACTGATGAATTAGACTGTTACAGCTTAAGATGGAAATTTGTAAAAATGAAAGGAATAGAAAAGCTTTTAGCGGTGATAGAAGATAATGTCTCATTTTGCAATACACAAAGCCGAAAATGTCCTCTGAAGTTGCCAACTTCTGTTGATTTTTGGTTGGAAAACAATTCCTGTTGACACTTCTGTCTGTAATTGATAAGGTATTATTTAACCCAAAAATTTCTTATCACTTAATTTGAGATCTGACTGTTTCCTATTTCCTGCAAAACAAAAGTAACTAATCAACAATATTTTTTATACATTTAGAGACCATAAATCATCACAAAAATTTTCTAATCATAAAATTTGCTTCTAACGATGAATAATACAAAAACTGATTTGATCCATTCTTCAATTAACAATTCCATTAGGGAATTTTAGTTTGAAAGAAACGAAAAAAGAAGTATAAGCAAAATTGTATTTGACAATAAATTATATTTCAAAAATTTTCTTAGCCAAGCTCATGCATGAAAAACCAAATCTGGTTATCCTAAATTTCTGCATCTCTTATTTTTGAATTTCCAAAAATGTTCAACATTTCCCATTTCTGAAATAAGTTAGTTTAAAAACCGCCACACGAATATATAAGATTTTTAAAAAAGAATTTTTTAACAATTGTTGATTACTAAAAATATATTTACATCACTGCAGAAATTCAAAATTGAAATGAATACCCTTATCAGTCAAACAAAGAAAAACTACAGTACACCACAAATATTGGTGTTATTGTGCAACAGAAATTGTAAACAATTTGGGACAAATTATACTAAAGGAAAAAAAAAAGTTATTTATAAGAAAACTGAGCAAAGTTATGCAAAGAATATATCAAAAATATTTTTAACATCAAAGATTAGCAAATGATAATTACTTAAAAATTGCTTTTATCAATAATTTGACATTAATACTACACCAAACGACAATTTCTGCTGGTCGAACCTTGAAGGAAGAAAAAAATTTTTACCGATTGTTAACTAATTTGATGAAGGCGTTTTTTATTCTACATTTAGCCAGTTTTCTCTTGCTTACTTATGCAGATCCACTTAATGAACTGTAAGTCTTATTTCGTCTTAATTTTGGAACAGAATAAAATTTAAGAAGTTAAAAAAAATGCTAAAATTGCTAATACAAATGAAATGCAAAGTGAGGTATACGAATTGAATTTAAAAATTTTCATTAATGTTTCTGCCTTCTTCTTGCAATCTTTATAAATTCCTTTTTTTCGGTCTTCTGGTCTCATTCTCATAAAATTTTTAAATTTAATGAATTCGAATATTATTTCAAATATCTCAAATTCTTACTGCAGGGATAATGATGACACACCAGGTAAAATTCATACCTTGTATCAGCAGCATTATTCGAAGTATAAAACATATCTGAAAAAAATGGGTATGTTAATTGGTTTTTCTTCATTTCTGCAATTCATTTTTCATTCTGAAAAAAAAAAAAAATGAAATGGTATGAAAATGTTAACTTAGAAAGAAACTTCAAATTTTAGCTAACCTGAAAAAAAGCTGAAGCTTCTTTATCAATCAGGATTTCTCATACATTTTATTATCTTCTACAGGCAAAAAACATGATCCATCTGTTCCGGAACCAATTCGATTACTTAAATTTGCACAATCTTTGAAAATGATTGATGAACATAACCAGCGTTACAGTAAAGGATTGGAAACATACAAAGTAGATCTGAACGAAATGAGCGATTGGGTGGGTCATAACTGAAGAAAAAATTGGAAAATTCGGATCAAGCATATAATTATAATAACAATAATAATAATAGTAATAACAATAACAATAATAATAATAATAATAATAATAATAATAATAATAATAATAATATAATAATAATAATAGTAAAACCGTTATGCATTACATTTCATTGTTTCTTTTGCTTTCCTTTCGTTTTTAATTTCATACCTTTTCCTCTTCTAATTTCGATTTATTTCTTGCTTTTTATTTGTTGTTTCTATTCAGACGGAAGAAGAGAAAGAAAGACTTCGGGGATATTATCCAAATTTGACTGAAGATGTGGAAGGAGACTTAAGTAGAATAATCCGAGGAAATATAACAACAACAATACCAAAGTCTTTTGATTATAGGAAGAAAATAACTGTACTACCAGCATCAGATCAAGTAAGTGTTTTTTTCATTTCAACAATTCCAATTGAAATTAATATCTTTTCCTCTCATTTTCCTTATTCCTTTTATTTCTTTGTTTGCTTCTTTTCTTCTTTTTGTTATTTGCATTAAACAATAATTTACATGTTATTGTGAATTGGAAATCAATTTTAGGGTCGTTGTGGTGTGTGTTTTATTTTCTCAGCATTAGGAGCGCTTGAAATGTATGTGGCGCTCAGGACTAAAAAACCGCCGGTAAAACTGTCAGTACAGGATGTAATGGATTGTAGTGGAATGGAAAAATGCGAAGGAAGAGGCGGAAATGAACTTGAGGTATGCGGGAATTTGTTATTTTATTATTAATTAGTTAATTATCTATAAATTACAAATATAAGTGAAAAATGATATAATTAATAGCAAAAATGATTTCTAGGTTTTTCGTTGGGTTGCTGAGCACGGTGTAAAGACCGATAAGAGTTACCCATATAAGGAAAACGATAGTGTTTCATGCCCGGGAAAGACTCCACAACGACGAAAGTATGGTTTAGCTGATGCATTCTATTTACCTCCTAGCAATGAACAAATTCTCAAGAAGATACTAGCACTATATGGACCAGTTTGTGTATCATTACATTCGTCATTACAAAGTTTTGTAGCTTATCGAAGTGGTAAGTAATTTACAGGAAAAACTATGAAAAAAAAATGGTAAGAAATTTTGAAATTGATAATTTTGAACCAGTTTGATAATTTTAATACTAAAAAATTTTCCGGTATTTATAATGATCCAAAATGTCCAACTGATGCAAAAAAAGTGAATCATGCGGTAATAGCGGTTGGTTATGGTGTCGAGAATGGGATGGAATATTTTATCATCAAAAACAGGTATGAAAAATTTTAGCAAAATTTTTAGAATTGAGGACTTTTTTTTCTTTGAATTTATTTCAGTAATGAAAAAATAATAGTAAACTTATGGTGTCTTGATTAATATAAGTTAAAAGCAAAAGGCTAAAAAAAAAGTAAAAATGGATTGACGACAATAAAAGAAGAATTGTTATTGTTATATTTTAATTATTTGTGGTAATTGACGACAATAAAAGAAGAATTGTTATTGTTATATTTTAATTATTTGTCGTAATATTGTTCGAGGTAGATAAATTGAAATAATTTTTTTTTTGTATCAAAAGCTATATTTAATTTAATTTAATTTATTTGCTAACTATTATTACTAATTTTATAGCTGGGGCCCTACATGGGGCGAAAAAGGATACGGTCGTATTCGCGCTGGGTTATTTATGTGCGGTATTGGTCATTTTTCGAACGTACCAATCTTCAAATGAGAGAATAATGTGAAATTTTGCTGCCGATAGTTTTTTTTTTTTCGATAGTATTATTAGAAGTGAAATAATTCATAATTCTTATCTGTTATCAATTAATAATTGCAGAAATTGTGTATTTAAATAAATATTTATCATAAATTTTAGTCATTACTTCTCAAATAATACTAATATTATTTTAATCATCATTGCATGCTATTCTACGAACACTATTTCATAAAACTTACAAAACAAAGATAGACAAACGTCACAAGAAAATTTGAAACAAATAAAGACATCGATAATAAATCAGCAATTCGATTCATTTCAATTAATTAACTCGAGAAAAAAAAAATAATAATAAAAGAAAATCAAAGTAAACGATCAGCAAAAAAGTGAAGGAAAGAAAGCAGAAAAACTCTGATTCTCATCTCAAACAGTTCGACTAACAAATGCATAAACGCACTAATTGTCACGTCCTACCCGTACTCTCCAGAAGGATAAATGCGCCCCACCCATTGATTGTCTTACTTGTAGGGGAAGAAACTACTACCCAGTTTGCCTCTCAAATAGTAATAATAAGATATGCACGAATAACACTAATTGTTACATAATCCATAATCCACATACTTGGAGTACTCTTTGAGTCTCTCAGAAATGTCTTGGTGCCATCGTACGTGCAGTTTTAGTGAAATGAAAGAGTAACTGCGCCCTAACCGTTTGTTTAATTATTGAAAACAAAATGAATAGTTATTGCAATATAATCAGAAAATACAGAATTAAAGGAAGAGTAGTACTTGACTTATTATAAGAGAAATAATTATGAATCATAATGATTTATCCACATTCTGTCGTACTCATTTGACAACTTAAATAACAAAAAAAAAAAACTTTATAAAATTAACTGTGGAATAAAATTTAAACAGCGTCAAAAATTGTAATTAATAATAGTTTTAGTTCTTTTATGCCATTTAAAATTAATTTTATTGTAAATTTAAGTATGGATCATTATGAAAACTTACAGTTTTTATCAGTTCCCGTAATATATAATTTAAATTTAGGAAATTAATTTTAATTTTGCTAAATCACTGAAATTATAAATGATAGGATACGCTTCAAGAAAGTTTGTGACACTCGAATAGAAAAGTTAAAGTTTTAAACAAAATAAACGAAAGAGAATACAAAAATTCAAATTTTGATGTTGCTGCTATCATCAATAAATTTAAAACAAATCTGTTATGTATGATCGCATACAAAGTGTTGTTGAAATTACTTCGCCATATTAAGTTTTAAACTTGTATTGTTCCCTCCAAAAAAAAAAAGGGAAAAAAAGTGATAAAACAAGTAAAGATAAAAAGGAATGTCTGAAAGCTTTTTGGGAGATCAATCGCTTTTTGGGGACACATTATCAAATTTCAATGTTTTCGAAAAATTCGAACATTAAATCAAAAGGAATCAAACAGAAATTCCTTTTTTGAATTAATTTGAAGCAAAATTAAAAATAAGAACAGTGTTTAATTAAAAGTCAATTTTTCTTTAAAAAAAAAAACTGCTGTTGTCGGGAAATCACGAAATTTTTATTATACACTAAGTGTTAAAATAATTCTAATGATTCATCACTATAAACCAATTCGTTATTGCTTTGTTATATCCCATTTTTTTGAAACAATGAATGCTTTATCTAAACTTCAAATAGTAGATGTACATCTCTCTTCTTTGTTCTTCATTGTAAATGTTAATCTGCTAAGCCAAGCCCACTTCCTATACATCCTTAAAGATCTTCTATAATCAGTTAATAACAAAGAAACGATCGATGGCAGTCTTCTCTTCCTCCTATTCAACGCTACCATTCATTCCTTCGCTGTTTCAATTATTCAAATATATGTTATATGTGTTATTGATTCACATTTATAAAGAAAGTAAATGATATCTGGGTTGATCTTGCTCGTAGATAAGAAACAAAAGGTTCAGTTCAAGTTCTACAAACCTAAAGTAAGTCAAGTAAATTTAACTAACCTAAATCATCTACTCTTCAGACCAAAAAGTTAATTCAAATTCATCACAGCTGTAGATTTGTCACGTTTATCTAAAAAAAAAAAAAAAAAAAAGTATTCATTTTTTATATGAATTCTTGTAATATCAATAAGTTCTATTATGAACAAAAATCTCTATGGGTAACATAGTTTTCCTCCTTTTTCAATTACTGTATACATTTTGAATAGTAATACTTTGTATTTCAATTTAATAAAATTGAAATACTTTTTATATATTGAGAAATCCTTCCATTACTTGAATAGTTTATTTTTTACGAACATTTCTGATTTAAATACAATTGATAAGTAGTTTAAATGATATTAACCTGTTTTCAACGAGTTAATCGTTTGTAATTTTGGTTATTTACAACGTTTAAAGAAATTGATGCTTTGGCACAATAAATATGAAGTCACGAAAAATTAGTAACAGAATGCAAAAATAAATCGTTCATAAAAAGGAGAAGATGAAACAAGAAGAAAAAAATCTTGGTTCAAAAATGGCTAAATTTAGAAATCAAAAATTTAGAACGAGAAATATGAAAAAATACAAATAACTTGACTTGGTTGACTCCACATGGAGCAAAAAAAGTAAAGAAAACCAAAAATATAAAACAGGTAAAAATTTAAAGTATATCTGGTCCATAATTTCCGTACAAATTGGCCAGGAATATCTTTAACATAAAAATTTAGCCAAATATTTCTTTAACCAGAATTATCAGCCCGACCGACATACATATATATCACATGCCAATGAATTAGGCAGGTCTGACAATTAGACTGCAATTTCTTTTCATCGAATTTGAAAAATAAATTTATAAAATTTTACAAAAACAGAAAATTGCATTAATTGGTGCATAAATAATTTTTCAATTTTAAATTTGAGCTTTTTATCGTTTAATTGTTATATTAATGCCTTTTTCGGAAGTTTACAGCATAATGATAAATCACAAATTTTTAAATCTTAAATGAAGCGATAAATCGATGTAAGTAAATGTATTTCAAATAAAAAAGTGAATTTGTTTATTCACATCAGTTTTTTTTTCGATCTAAAATTAATGTGTTTGGAAAATTCGATGAGAATTATAAATACTTAAATTTATCTGGGATTTTGCTTGACAGTCGATGTGCAATAATGCTATAAATTACTTGAAATATCGATTATAAATTATAAAATGTTAACGAAATGATGTACGATTTTTTTTACATCTAAGTCAAGCAATAATCTATGTAATTAAAAATATTTTTAACACAAAAATGAATTTGCTTATTAATTTTAGCTTTTTTAATATCTAAAAGTTTAATAGTAGCAAAATCGAGATTTGACTGAATTATAGAAAAATATTGAATTTTTTAACCATTTTGCTTGAAAATCGATATGATCTTCTAACTTCTGGCAAGGATTTTACCACAATATAGTCATAAATACGTCAAATATTAATCATAAATGATTAAACAGTAACTAAATGATAAAATACAAACTCCATTAAGCGAAAAATCGATGAAATTAAACATATTTCTGGCAAAGAAATGAATTTGATTACAAAGAATTTTATTAACCTGGAAATTTCAATAATGGAAATTCAAATTTTTCTTCTGTTAATGAATGATTACATCGTTGAAGCATTCAAAGGAGTGTTGCAGTACGAAGAATGTCAATCTGTTGATGAATATGCAATGAATAATGTATTTGTTGATCATATCCTTTCATGTTGATATAAATTTTACTGTAGTAGTGAAGATTTCCATTGTCTCTGCAATTATCTTTGACTTTTGAACACGTATATAAGTGAATCTACGTGATATTACGTAAGAGTGCAGTTTGAGTAAGTACTTAGATAGGATTGAAACGTTTACTGTGTAGTACTACTACAATGTAACATTTCTAACATGGGTAAATCTACCAACGGACTTTACCACTGCATTTACAACATACAGCAAAGTAAACATCACTGGCTGACTTTGGCTTTGGAAGCTGCAAAAAATCCTTGGTCTTTTGATCGAGGAGGAATGTTGTAGCTCCAAAATTATAAAATGATGCAAAAAAATAGACAAAGAGATCTTCAAATGTGTTTCACATATATTTCCGGATTAGATTTCATTTTTTCACCGTAAACGGAAATTTGTGTTTTGTAAGTGGGAGTGAGGAGTAAAGGAGTGGAAGATAGGTTAGAAAGCAATTCCTCTTGCTGATTTCCTTCCTGAAATTTTAAGTCCGGAAGGAGAATTGTTTACAATTCTTTTTTTTTTTAATCTGGCTGTTCAGAAAAAAGATTCTTAATTGAATATGAACAACAACTATGCTGAACTTCTTGTTGGTTTCATAGTATTCATTGTGTTCGGAACGAGAGATCAAGAGTACTTGAGGTAAATTGTATAAATGACATCTCAACAATTATTAGATCAGCTTAACGATTATTACTTGTAAAAATGACATCAGAATGGAAGCACTAAGTTGCACATTTTTACCTTAAATATGGTTTATATAACTAAGCATATCGTTGCATTTTGTTGTATGAATTAAATATTCTCATGCATACATATAACAGCGTAAGCAGAAGTTAAGGGTTCTTTTTTTTGTACTTCTGCAATATTCATCATTTCTTATATATATGCTGAAGTACAAGCATATAATGTAATATGTTTATTAGATTATAAAAAGCAAGAGAAACAAAAGTTAAGCAAAAAACTTCGCGATAACAACAAAAGCAACTCCTGCAATAACTTATATAATTTATATAAAATATTTTTCAACAACACAGCTTATCACAATCAGTGAGAAGCAGAAAACGATATACAGACCATAACAATTAAACGATGTCATTCCCTTTGCTTTCACTTGATCGAGAGAAAGTAAGTTTCCAAATGATATATTTATGGGACACATCGACCAACAAAGCGTGGGTAAAGACACACATCGCGAATATGATTGGTGTTTGTTAACCAACAAATAAAACGTTCCAAGCCAAGTCCATAGCCACCATGAGGACAGGT